AGTCCGCAGGCCGACGCTCCATCCACCGAGCCAAACCAGCTGTGGCTAAGCAATCTAATTTTTTTTAAAAATAAATTTTATTGATTTTTTACAGAGAGGAAGGGAGAGAGATAGAGAGTCAGAAACATCGATGAGAGAGATCGATCAGCTGCCTCCTGCACGCCCCCCACTGGGGATGTGCCCGCAACCAAGGCACATGCCCTTGACCGGAATCGAACCCTGGACCCCCCAGTCCGCAGGCAGACGCTCTATCCACTGAGCCAAACCGGTTCGGCAACAATCTAATTTTTAATGTTCATATTAGATAAAATCTTGAGGAAAAATTCAGGTTTTAATATGAATAGTCAAACAAAGACGTTGATAAATGCCACTATTAAACAGTCGTTAAAATGAGGTTCTGGAATAGAAATCTCTTTACTGTCATGTGTTTTGGAAGCATGAAACATGCGTAGTTGTTGACAGTTGAATTATACTAGGGAGCTCAACACCACCGACAAGCTTCATGACTCAAGGGAAACAAAATAAACTCAACTCAATACAATTAGAAACCATCCGCCTCTCATCCCTACCAGAGCGTCTGCCCCTGAATCGGAAGCTCTGTGCATCGGTTATTAGAGTCCTATCTTTCTAGACATTCAGACTGAAAACAAACCCAATGTTCAGCAAAGTCCGGTGAGAGAGCTAACGGGAGACAATGTCCCTTATTAAACTTCCTTATAAGATGGGAGGATGGGCTTATAATTCTGGTAATTTCTCATGTCTAGATTTAAAAAATATTTTTTTGAACTAGGGTATTTAAGCACCACCACCACCACCACCACCACCACCACCACCACCACCATTTCCGGGCACAATAAAAGTGAGCTACGTCTTCAAGGAGCCGGCAATCAGCCTTGGTCCCAGGAGCGGGGACCAAGGACAGGGCTCACCCCCTCACGGACTGCATCGCTGCCCACATTCCCATGGCCGGCCGCGCTCTGACACACCTGCAAAGTACCTGGGCTTGACTGGGCTTGACTTCCGGAAACACATCCAGGAGTGAGGCCACTGGTAAACAGTTCTTTGAAACTCTCACATTTGGTGCAAACTGGGGATAGTGGATGACTTCAGGAAAATGTATATAGTTTAAAATATTTAATGTCAGAAAGTTGTTTTTTAAAACTCAGCAGCCTGAAAACTTGGGAGTATCAATCTGTATGAGACTTGGAATGTACAAAGAGAAAACAGCTGGGCAATCTGCTCTGGTCAGCCCGTGTCACCGACACGTGTCACCCACACGTGTTACCCCCTACCTGCCGCGAGATTTGACATTCAGATTAGAAAACACGTGCACTTTGACTTTAGCGGTGGTCTGTGTTTCTAGCGTTACCATCCTATGTTTACAGTACTGTGAAGTGAAAGAGCACAAAAACCAATGTTATACTTAAATTAAATAGCATGATTTAATTTACTTGCTGCTTAATCCTGAATCCTCTTAAATTAAAAAAACAACAACAAAAGTTAAAATTAACTATTAACGTTAATGAATTTAAACCTTCCAGAAAACATGAATCCAAAAGGAAATGTCCAACAGGTGACTGAGCCACATATTTTATGGCCTTTCCTGTATCGGCCTCGAACATTCTAAACATCAATGGGAAAAAAAAATTCTGTATCGAGTTTTTCAGTTTTATTCTTCCGGAGCACAAGTTTCGGGCCTGTTACTGAGGACGGTCTTCCAACAGATACACAATTAGCTCATAGGTGGACAGCACAATGGCCGTGTTTGGGATCTGCCGGATGAGCTGGGCGAAGAGTCCTCTATAGAAGGCAAGGTAGCCTTCTTCCCGGAAGACCAGCCGAGCGGTCTGGACAAAAGACTTGTACTTGGTGCCCTCCTCCCGCAGCCGCGTCCTGATCACTTCTGCGGAGAGAAACACATGCTTTATGTGACAGGTAAATTGCATTTCCGGGTGATATGAGGAGAATTCAAAGCACACAGCTTTATAATTATCAACGTATACCTCTGCCCACGTGCCACCTAAAATAATAAACTATGTTAAGATCTCAAGAGATGCCCTGGCCGGGTAGCTCAGTTGGTTAGAGTGTCGTCATGATATGCCAAGGTTGCGGGTTTGATCCCGGTCTGGGAACATATAGGAAGCAACCAATGAATGCATAAGTAGGTGGATCAACAAACTGATGTTTCTTTCTCTCTCTCTCCTCCCTTCCCCCTACTCTCTTAAAAAAAAAAAAAAAAAAAAAAAAAGCTTAGTTTGAGTGGGACTATATTTTAAGATAGTTTATAGTTTTCTACTCCAATTAAGTAAATGCTGTAATTTCACCGAAAGTGGCATTTGTATTAAGTATGGAAATATCTCCCACAGGACTTCCTTTTCATGTACTCCCCAACTTTCTCCTCCTAGAGTCCTCCTCTGCTCTGTCCAGCTTAAACGCTGCCTCCTCCTTTTCCAAACCTTGGCCCACCTGGCCCTGCCTCACCTGGGTGCCCACAACATGACACTGCCTGTCACCGCCTGCCGAGCAGACCTCTGCCCCGTCTCCTCCCAGGCAGCCGTCCGCCTCTTCCTCACGAGCCCCGAGGCCGCCATGCCCGGCACACCGGGACTCCGCCACCCGTTACCGAGTTCACCACGCGCACTTGCCACAGCTGACAGCACAGTGGGCTTTTGAAAGCAAGGCTTGTTTTTCATGGCACAATAAACAAAGCTATTATTTTAATAGTAGCTCAGAAGGACAGTAGGCCTATCATTCTTTTTAAAAATAAACTTAAAAGCCCTAGCTGGTTTGGTTCAGTGGATACAGCATTGGCCTGCGGACTGAAGGGTCCCTGGTTCAATTCCGGTCAAGGGCACATGCCTGGATTGCAGGCTCAGTCCCAGTAGAAGGCAGCCACTCAATGATTCTCTCTCATCGTTGATGTTTCTATCTCTCCCTCTCTCTCCATTCCTCTCTGAAATCAATAAAATATATTTTAAATAAATAAACTTAAAAAATAAACTTTAAGTGGAAAATAAAATTCAAAGTGGAAGCTGAGAGATTTTAAGTTTGGCTCCTTTGTCATTTTTTTTTTTTTAAGTCAAGGATAAAATCCAGATTTTTGGCTTCTTGAAAACATCAGAAGTTCTACAACACAGGCCCACGTTCTGCACAGCAAGTTTTGGGAACTGGGGTTGAGTGACACTGAGTCCCTGCAACACACACACACACACACACACACACGCACGCACGCACACACACGCACGCACACACACACACGCCGAGGGGCGCGGGGGAGGCCAGGCCCACTTGGCTCGGGTCCCTCACTACCTGCAGGCATGTGCACTTCAGTCGTCTCCAGGGTCCAGGCACCCTGACAAATGGCACAACCCGACAGCTGTCACTGCTCTGGGAGAAGAGTGGACGTACCGTGAGGATAGGCGATACACGAGGCACATCCCTTAGACACAGCAGCAGCTGCCATGAGTCCAAAAAAACTTGCGGAATTCTTCTCAGTCCCATTTGCAGAGGGGGTGAATGGCGCGTCCTTCAGATACTTCTTCAGACTTTCATAAATAGCAAAGCAGATGACAGTTTCTGAGATCCCTGCATACGAGGCAGTTAATCCCCGATAGAAGCCACGAATGCCTTCCGTCTGGTACACGTGGCGCGCGCACTGGAGCGTGTTCATCTGCTTGCAGCCGCGCACCCTGTGACAGAGACCAAGGACAGGCCATCAGACCATGAGTGAGCGGGCTCCACAGACACTCGCCGGATGGAAGGCAATCAGTGGGCGACACGTGTCCTCCCCGCACGGAGGGCAGCTGTGCCCGGCCCACGGCGAGCCCAGGTCCACGGGCTGGGCCACCCGGCCGGCCCACAGAGAACGTGCGCCCGTACAAGAGTCACAAGAACACGCTCACAGCCTCTGGCCCGAGTTTGGAAAGAGCTTCGTGGAGGAAGACATTCCTCACAGAGAAAATCTAACCAACACGATCAAGTCCGTCCAAACGCCTAAAGAGGCGTAGAGAGGTAAACTGGGCACCGGGCCAGAGAGGAACTGCTGTGCAGGCGGGAGGTGGGCAGTGCTGGGGGAGGCGGACTAGCTGGTGTGTGAGGCAGTTACAGTTACGATGCAGATGTGTTTTAAGACGACACTGAAGGAAAACCCGCCAGCCTTCGGCAGGGAGGAGAGTGTGAGGGCGCTCTCAACCCTGAGGTAATCGAGATTCATCAAAGTATTCTAAGCAAATGATATGTTCAAAATTATTAGAACTGCTGCATCTCAGAAGGTTCTTTCAGGCAGGATGGGACGGGGAAATGTGGAGTCAAAGGCCAATATTGAGGCTACTGTGGCCACTGGAGAGGAGGAACAGCCTTGAGGAAGAACCACTTGCAGGGGTCCTGCTCTCTCCTCTGTCCTTTCTAGGAGCTTAAGTTGGACTGGATGAGCTGGAAGTTTCCAGTGCCCCACACAGTTACACAGGGCTCTTAGATCGAATCCTATCACAAACCTCACTTACCATCACTACTCCTCTGAAATCACAGTAGTTATTGGGCCACGGCTTGACTTAATATATTAAGTAGGTATATTACTATATCGTAATTTTAAAAAACATTAATAACTGCATTTCAGCAACTGGTCCATGGCTTCTACTATTCTAAAAAGGGCCTGCAGACTTCACCGGACCACCAAAGGAATCTGCAGGCTGCAGCGGGCTTCAGGCAGAAACCAGAGTCCGAGGGCCTTGGAGAGAAAATGGCCCTTCCCAGGCCTGGAGGCATTCGCTGCTCTCCCTCATTGTAAGGCGCCTTCCCGCCTGAAAGAGAAGCATCTGGGGAGAGTCCCTAGCGCTGCAGAGGGGTGGGGCCCGCCAAGCGCAGGGACCCCGACGGTCTGCGGAGGTTAGCACTGCACACCAGGGGCCACAGCTGAGTGAACTTGTGACCACCTCTGCTGGTCTTTGTCCCCACAATGCTTGACAGCACGACTCTCCAAGCAAAAGGAGCTGCTGTATGCTCACATTCAGAAAGAACAAGACTGTGTACTGCACTCCACAGGGAGCTGGGGGAGAAATATCCCCAAGAATTCTTATGTTAAGGAAGCAACAATTAATAACTTACTTCCGTTCTAGCTGCATCCGGGTTTTAACCATCCATATAGGATTCATTAGGGAATTTGTGACAAAAGCTGGAAGAAAAAACACACCAGAAAATGTCATCACTGAACACAGTCAATGCTGATTAAAACTGTCCATTCCATCTGAAATCAGGCTTTCCATGGTTTCATAGTAAAAATGGAGAGTAGGAAGCAGGACATTCTGTATCGCACAGGAAGCTCCAGTCCCTAAAGTGTAGCTTCTATTGGCATGCTGGACCTAAAGTCTCTCCAACTTCTGGAGCCCTGCCTAGGGTTTCCAGCCTGTAGGTGGTGCTGTTGGTATTTCTGTCAATGTGATGCCCATGGTAAACATGAACCACTCTACAACTCAATTTATAAGCATCAGATCCAGAAACAATTTGTTTTTAAGGGAAGTTGCTGTCTTAATCCAAAAGGTTGCCTTATATCAAACTTCAAATAAAAGGAACTAAATCTCCATGTAACTGAATCCAAAGGCAGACATTTTAATACCCACTAATGTTTCAGGAAAGTGAAGTTTTACCATTGATCTGTGTCTTACAAGAACCATTTGTCGGTGAGTCTCCCCATCTCAACACAGCCCGTCACTCCAGAGCAACAGAGCGAAGCAGAGTCAGGCACCAGCCAGTGACCCTCCTTGTGACCTCGCCCTCCCCAGTCAGACAGAGGAACCCGGGCGAGGCTGAAACACTGCCGCAGGTTTGCTTTAGGTACTGAGGGTTCTTCTAAGCCTGATAACCAGCGTTTAGGTTACAGCCAACCCCTATCGGCCTCAAAGTGCAGGCTCCTCGGAGCTGCGCACTCAGCACACGCCTTTCTTGTTTAACATTGGTTCCGAGGGGTCCAGAGCATCCTCTGTAACTCCTCAGAGGGGCTGCTGGTGCTTTATTTGAGTAGAGAGGTGCATACACTTACAGGCTGGCAGAGGAGGAAATTCTTTATAAAATGCCAATTTAAGTTCTCTAAAATACCTTTCTAGTTAAACAGACATAAACATAAATCTGTAAGGCATGGCCTTCTCTTCGCAATCTACAAGTCCATGCTTTTTTGGCCAAGCATTTCCTGGGGGGAAACCCTGTTATGTTTCCTATAGTGAGTAGGATGACTCCCTCATGGGGAACGCTCTCTGGCCTGTTCCGGTCCCACTAAAAGCCCACCAGCCCCGACCCTCATCGTAGAGCCCAGTGATTACGACAAAGTGCCAGCTGTGCACAGGGTGTGCTGGGCACCAGGAGTCATGAGAAAAGGAGCTTGAACTTTAGAAAACAATGTCATGAAACAGACCTGAAAAGCACATGAAAATTCCTTGGAAAGAAGCACTGCACCCAACTAGCATGCGTGGGACATGTACATGTTGAGGCAGAATAAAAAGCTTTAGTGGCCAAAGAGATAGGAACAGGTTACAAACTGATCTTAGACACATTATTTTATCGGCTCTAACATAAAGCGTTAGAAAAATGATTTCAGATGGAAAAGAGGCAGAGAGCTCATTTCTAATTCCGAGAAAAGGCTGCTGGGCACAACACATGCTTTCTCCACCCACGGGTAACGGGTAACGTACCTGCAGAGCCAGCTGAGAAAATGTGCACAATGTTGCTGTTAGGCACGAAAATGCCATTGAACTGCTCTTTGGCTTTGGAGTAACATGCAAAGTACACAGCCCTGTCAGAACAAAGGGAGAGCGCGGTAAGACATCGGCCCGCACTGCCAATAGGATGTCCCCCCGCAACCTCTGAAACGTCAGGTAAACAATACGGGCGAGAAGTTCCCACGGAACAAAAGCTCGGCCTCATCCGTGCTAAACCCAAACCTGCTGCAGGCGCCTTCAGAAGGTCCTGCTCGCCCCCAGAGAGTATACGGTGGAGGGAAGAGTCCAACATAACAGGGGAAAATGAGACTTTGGTAATATACATGCAAAGTCCATTTATAGTCTTCATTCTGTTGGTGCCAATCCTTTGAGCACCAACATATACTGTAACATTTAAAATTTATAGTATTTCTAAAATATACCACACTCATCCTGCCTCACACCAAAATGAGCATGTGATTGGGGAAGGGGCAATGCTGCTGACCACACTCACTCACTTAGAGAAGATCCAGGGATGAGAGCAGACTTGTTTTCAACTCAATACAGTAACTAGAATCTCTTTCTCACCATGAACTAAAGACACACCAACAGTTCTCACTATTCCCATTTGTCAGGTGTGTTTAGGCAAATCCTGCACAGAAGAGACTGGCCACCTAGCAGTCCGGCCCTTCCGTGGGAAAGGACTCAGGACATTACATCCGTATGAAGGGAGCCAGCTGAAAGTTCAATGCTTACCTTGACGGTGCAACTCCAACCAAATTTGGACCCAAGCCTCTAAAAAGTGACTTTGGTCCCTCCTTCTCCAAGATCGACCTGAATAATACAAAAAAGATCCAGCTTTAAAATCCTTAGGCAAGGTCTATGCAAAGCAAGTGTCAGCCTTCCCTTAGCGCCTTGCATAAAGAATAATAGGTTGTTGCACGGCCGACGTGGTTTGGTGGCTGAGTGTCCACCTATGAACCAAGAGGTCACAGTTTGATTCCCAGTCAGGGCACATGCCCGGGTTGCAGGCTTGACCCCAGTCGGGGTGTGCAGGAAGCAGCCGATCAATAATTCTCTCTCATCATGGATGTTTCTCTCTCTTCCCTTCCTCTCTGAAATCAATAAAAATATTAAAAAATTTAAAAAAAGATTAATAGATTGTTTACAAGACCCCAGGCTAATTTACGATTATATTACAACACAGAATCGGAAGGCTGAAGAACACAGCTGCAGTAACAGTGAAAATCCGCGCTTCGGCAGCATCAGTCTGACATGTTTGCAAGAAGCCTTTTCCTTGTTCACGCGGGAGCAAGACACTCAAGGTTTGTACGAGGAGACCCTATAGGGACAACGAGCACTGGCGAAGGGGCTGACACAGGGACAAGGCCCCACTCTAACAAGGGCCCCTGAGAAACACGTTCAGAGTTCTTTGGATGGGACTTCTGGATTTACGCCTTATTTATAGTAACCCCATCTTCTAGATTTTTACTTATTGTGGGCAAGTCCTAAACAGATATAAGGAATAGAAAAGGCTAGTAATTTCATGGGCTGGATGGAAAAGCCTCGTACCTCAAGTCCAAAGAGAATACTGTGCCTGCTTTTTCTTTTTAATGTTTTTCATTGTGGTAACATATATATAACATAAATTTTTACCATTTTAACCATTTTTAAATGTACAGTTCAGGGGCATTAAGTGCATTCACACTGTTGTGCAACCATCGCCAGCATCTGCCTCTAGAACTTTTTCATCTTCTCAACTAAAATTCCATACCCACTGAACACCAACCCTCCATGCCGCCCCTCCCCCAGCGCTGGGCACCCACTCTTCTACTTGCTGTCTCTATGAACCTGACTACTCTAGGGCCTCATGGAATCACACGGTATTTGTTCTTTTGCGACTGGCACATTTCACTTAGCATAATGGCTCAAGGTTCGCCCATGATGCAGTACGTGTCAGAATTTCCTTCTTTTTAAAAACTGAATAACATTCCATTCTATAGATGGGCCACATTTTGTTTATCCATTTATCTGTCAATCAACACTTGGGTTGCTTCCCACCTTTTGGCTACTGGGAAAAATGCTGACATAAATGTCCAAATATCCATTCAAGTCTCTATATCCAGAAATGGAATTGCTGGATCATATGGTAATTCTAGGCTTAATTTTTTGAGAATTGGCCATACTATTAACCACAGCAGCTGCACCATTTTACATTCCTATCAACAACACACATGGGCTCCAATTTTTCCATATACTTGCCAACATGCTTTAAAAAATAACTGTTAAATATAGTTTCTGATCAACAGTGACTAAGAAAATCCTAAAAGCATTAGAACATTCTTTAGAAGCATATTCCCCACTGCAACATAATTCTTTAAGTTAGTTAAGTTTATTCTTTTTCTTTTTTTTTTTTTTAAAAAGTATTTTTATTGATTTCAGAGAGGAAAGGAGAGGGAGAGAGAAACATCAATGATGAGAGAGAATCCTTGCCAGTTGCTTCCTGCACGGCTCCTACTGGGGATCGAGCCCCCAACCCTGGCATGTGTACTGATGGGGAATCGAACTGTGGCCTCCTGGTTCAGGTCAGTGCTCAACCACTGAGGCACTCCGACTGGGCAAATTTACTCTTTTCAATGGCTCGGTTTTCATGGTATCCAAGAGAATTTACATTGTTAAATTAGAGTCCTCTAATTCAATCTCCTTTTCTGAGAATTTACTTGGTAATTAGTACTTCCAATTTGACAGCATTCTAAGTTGGCCAAGCTCAGAAACAATCACATTGTTTTCAAAAGAGTTTATATACTGTTTTACCTTCATTATGACACTGAAGGTAAGATAAAAAGACATCTTTCACTTCATGGAAAAGATATTCCTATAAAACTAACAATAAAATGAATCCTGTCAATTCTAACTCTACCAACTTCGACTTTTCACACAGAGAAAAGGTTTCCAAAACGAACCTGAAATTTTTGGTGCAAAAGAGCTTAAGCTGATGTTTTAGTCCTTGGCATGCTGGTAATGTTCAAGTTTTCTCCATTTGTAGTTTTCACTCCTGTTCTTTCTTTCCTCAGAGCAGTGTAATTTTCATGGTCTAGATTCCTAGCCTCTCCTCTCCATGTTTTTTGATGTTTATAAAATAGTTCAATTGCTTGATGAGAAAGAATATTTATACCTTTAAGAGCTTTCTTAAAAAGCAGCAGGCTAGCAATTAGACAAGAAAAAAAGAAATAAAAGGTATCTAGACTGGAAAGTAATCTATCTCTATTCACAAACATATTATATATAGAAATACTAAAGAATCCACTAACAATTACTATAATAAACTAGTTCAGCAAGGTTGTAGGATACAAGATCAATGTACACACACAAAAAAAATGCCCAAACAATTGTAGGTCTACACAGAAGCAATGAATAATCTAAGAATGGGAATAAACAGCTATTCCATTTACAGCAGCATCAAAAGAATGAAATACTTATCTATAGAGAGACAAAATAGATGGGTGGTTGCCAGGGGATGGCGGAGGAGGAATGGGGAATGACTGCTCATGGGTACGTGTTTCTTCCTGGTGTGATGAAATTGTTTTAGAATGAAAATATGGTGATGGTCATATAACTCTAAATATACTAAAACCCACTGAACTGTATACTTTAGGAGGACAAATTGTATGCTTCTGAATAATATCTCAATAAAGCTACTACACTACAAAATATTAGGGAGACAATAGTTATATTTTCTAATCATAAAATATTTCCCTTGCTGGCAGGTATAAACTCAGACCCTTTAAGTTAGGGGTGGGGAATGTCTGGCCCACGGATGAAATCATTTGGTCTGGCCCTGCAAAGGCACTAGGGGTGAGTTAATTAAATGTTTGACCCAATATAGCAGGCTAATTTTTAAGTTGGTAATTTTGTATGGCCCATGAATGTTGTTATATCCAAATGGCCCTTGGCAGAAAAGGTTCCCCACCCCTGCTTTAAGTGATCCTAAGACACACGGTTGTTTGTGTGGTCCAGAATAAACCCTCTGGCCACCCTACGTGTCACATAAAGGTACTTTGTTGGACACACTAGACAACCAGGGAGGCATATCTCACTAAAGGACAGTAGATTTCTTTTCTCTTTTCATCGCATAAGGGCAAGGTCAAAGCAATGTATTTAAAATAAGACCTAGCCATAATAATGGAATGTTATTCGACAGTAACTACAAGGGAAAGAAGTCAGACAGGAGGCCATAAACACACTGCATGACTTCATTTATATGCAAAGTCCAGAGGAGACACCCCTAGAGACAGGAGGTAGGTTAGTGGTTGATTGCCTAGAGCTGGGACTTGGGGTGACTGCAGATGGGTGAGGGCCTTCTTAGGGGAATGACATGTTTTAAAATCACATTGTTGTGATAGTTGTGCAAAACTATGTGAACATGCTAAAAACAGTCAATTGTCTGCTTTACATGGGTAAGTTGTATGTGAATTACATATTAGTAAGCTGTTTAAAAAACCCTGCAGGGAGAAAAAGAAAGGCTCACTAAAAAAGACAGAGATCAGCAGGAACAGAGTTTTAAACAAAATTTAGTTCTTGTGGTAAATCAATCATTTACAAAAGATAACTGAGAAAAGTGAAATATAGACTGTAGATGAGTTAAAAAAGCAGTATATCAAGCCCTGGCCGGTGTTGCTCTGTGGTTAGAGTGTTGGCCCGCACACCAAAGGGTCTCAGGTTCAATTCCCAGTCAAAGGCATATACCTGGGTTGCGGGTTCACTCGCTGACCCTGGTAGGGGTGCGTGCGGGAGGCAACCAGTCAATGTGTCTCTCTCACATTGATGTTTCTCTCTGTCTCTCCACCTGACACCTCCTTCCCCCCTGCAAAACACACACACACACACACTCTCTCTCTCTCTGAAAAAGCAACGGAAAAAATATCCTCAGGTGAGGATTAACAATAACAACAACAAAAAATAGTATATCAGTATTAAATTTCTTGAATTTGAAAACCGCTGTGGTTTTAAGATAATACCTTTATTCTTAGGAAATAAATGCTGAAGAATTAAAGGAAAAGGGGCACAATGTGAACCTATTTTCAAATGGTTCAGAAAAAATATGGATGTAGCCAAAGCCGGTTTGGCTCGGTGGATGGAGCGTCGGCCTGCGGACTGAGGGGTCCCAGGTTCGATTCCGGTCAGGGGCATGTGCCTGGGTTGCGGGCACATCCCCAGTGGGGGATGTGCAGGAGGCAGCTGATCGATGTTTCTAACTCTCTATCTCTCTCCCTTCCTCTCTGTAAAAAATCAATAAAATATATTAAAAAAAATATGGATGTATACAGGACAAAATGACAACACAAATGTGGCAATATGTTAAAAATCTGTGACTCAAGATCAAGAGTATAGCAAGTTACTGGTACCATTCCTATAACTTTTCTACAAGTTTGAAATTATTTCAGAAAAAAATTCTTTAATAAAAATAAGTTATAGGCAAGCCATAGGTTATAAAGATATTGAACTCATGATTATAGCCCCATGTTACGGGAACAAGGGCTGGGTAGAGGCAATTGTTAGGTTCTGTAAATCAAGCCCCCAAATGAAGGTCATGGAGTTGCAGTGAGTTTTCACACTAGCCAAAAACAAGTCACTGGGCCCTTAGCAGAGGCGTGAGAATTAGTTTTTTCAATTTTAAATACTTGACTTCTATCTTTCTTACAACAGGCCTGATTTAAAAAGCTAAGCTCTCTGAACAAAATCTTTTCTTATATAACACCTGCAAGTGACCTACACCTTATAGCATGTAAGACTGTCAAATGGTCAGAATACCCAAAATGTTTCAAGTTTAGATT